CCTAGAGACGACCGGAGATCTCTCCGTTTGTTGAAAGCTTCCCGATGTTGACTCTCGTCTTATTCCGACGCATGGCACTGGACAGACAGAAGTTTTATTTTCTGTCTCACGTGGAGTTTGCGTTGGGGTTTGTAATGAGCTACAAGCCGGTCTCTTTCCGCGCCATATACAGATTTAATGAAGTGCACGTCACCGAAAGCAACAGATATGAGCTGGATTTTATTAATCATCGGCTAATTTCAAAATCAGCAAAGACAGCAATAAGAGAGATCGGCAACAGAACTGGTAAGATCATTTCATTTCTTTACTTTTAATGAAGATGGTAGTGTTAAGCGTCTGCGACTTACTTTCACTAATTCACTTTGATTTGCGATAGATTGCGGCGCTTGATGAAGGGGCTCAGCTCAGCTGCTCAGGTGATGCGCGTCGTCATATATGACTAAAATATCATGACATATAGCTTGGTTTCAACAACCAGATGCATTTACACTTGTCCAGTTTCGTCTGGAATACGGCACAGACCACGTCCTCAAGTGGTTTGAGCGATCGAATTCAAATCCGTCTCGAATGCGTTTCGGAGGGCATTTACACCCTGGTCTTTTCACGATCGAATAGCTATCCGATCACAGAAGACACATGAAGTGACCAGGTGTAAACAGCCCCTTTGAATCCATCGTCTACTTTTGTGGAAAGCTGACTAGAGTTGTGTCGCTCGAGTTGTCTTCTCTGATACGGAGAACGGCGGCGAATAGCTACACGAACCTGCCAGACATAGCCAGGCGAGCGTGAACGCGCATGACGTCACGCCCAGTCTCAGATTTGAGCCCGAATCCCTCTTATATATTTCACTGTACAGGGTTATAGAGGCGATCGCAGTGATCAAAGAAGGGCTCATTCAGCCCATCAGGCGATTGTTTAAGCATGTATGGGTTAGAAAACGGCTATTTTTAACATGAAAAGTTGCGCAATGCACCTTTAACGGCTGTGGTGTAGATCAGGGGTGTCAAACTCAAATACACAGTGGGCCGAGATTAAAAAATTGCTATAAGTCAAGGGCCAGACAGGTTAAACGTTTATTGAAAACTTATTGAAACAATGTATTATTATTATGAACCTGAAAACAACAAGGCCTATATATTATTGCCTATAAAACAACATTAATTAGGAAATAAAATTAATAAATAAAATCAGTTTCACTAATTTATTATGGTTATTTACAAAAGTTATTTACTTCAAAGGAAAATCAAATGTACTATTACAAGAGAAAGAAAAAAATGCAAAAATGAAAGTCCACCTTTTGTTTAGCCATTTTTTGGGGGGGGGAGAGAGTTAGTTGATTATAGGGTTTTCACGATGCGTCATCAATCCGGAAGTCGGCCATTTCGGAGGCACATAACATAAACAATGCCATTGAACTGAACGGACTCTCAAATTTGGCTGATTATTTCTGCTGAAAAATGGTCAAGTTTTGGTCTATACTAATCTGCCGCATCGGGGAAAATACCTTTTGAGTTCTATAGACTGCCAAAAGTTAAAGAGAAGAGTGCAAAAAACTGATGAAAGAAGGCGTTTGTGGTTGAGAGGCAGAGCATCAGCCACGTGTAAATGAAGCTTTGACTATGGCTAAAATGTTGACGTATTAACTAGGGCTACATTCATACTGTCAGTCCAAATCCGATTATCTTTACATCCGACTGGAGTCCATGCAGCTCTTGGGCAATACGGCACCGACATTGACACTGATGGAGGGGTTTGAATTTGCAATAGAGATGTTTTCTTATTTAATTTTTGCAACATGGATATGTGTAGCCACCACCGCGCTGGACTATATTGGTATGCAACGTTACAGCTTTTTTCACGCTCTTGTCTGTGCCAGTTTCAGAAATAATATTTTTCTGCTCGTCCAGCACTTTGCAACAACATAGCATTGTTTCGGCAGCGACTTGCAGCAAGTCTCCTCTAACAACCACTGATGTTTACATTTTATGTGGCGTGAGAGTCGCATATCCTTCCGAAATCCGATCGTTCAGACTGAGGCATATGTCCTGGTATTTGAAAAGGATTTCAAACCACATATGGATGTAGCTTGAAACGGATTTCATGTGCTTTTTGGACTGACAATCTGAGCATAGCCTATGTCGGAATAAGAAAGAAGGAAGAATTGCAGTACGGGCAAGAGAAGCAAGCTCATTACCACATATTAACTTTAGTTTGTCAAAATATTACTCTCTCTCCTGCTTGGTAAGTCCTACTCTTTAAGATTTCACACCTACCAAGGTTTTTTCTGTGTTTTTTTAGTGCAACAATGTGTTCCGTAGTACATAAACAGTGTGATCCATGCTGTTGTTCACATGAGTGCCTCCATGGTGACGCATCATCGCTTGTCACGTGACAAAGTGCAACCACACAGCGCTCTCTCTATGTGCTCAGCTCCCACTCGCTCCCACGTAATTTCAACCGATATACCGGCGGGCCAGCTCTAAAAATAAATACATTTTGTCATGCAAGCCAAAGATAATTCATTTGCGGGCCGGTTGTGGCCCGCGGGCCTTGAGTTTGACACATATGGTGTAAAGATAAAGAGAGGTTGAGGCAAAAAGCTCCAATACAAAGATTTACTCAAAATCAAAACAGGTACAGGCAGGCAAAAGGTACACTCTCAAAACTCATTGTAACATTAACAACGACCGACAAGGACAGGCTGAACAGAAGCAAACTAAACACAAGCATGAATCAAACATAACAAGGTGAAGACAGGTGAAACAGATGATGATAACGATGAACAGGTGGATGATTGAGGGAGTGAGTACAGGTGTGGAGACAAGAGGATCCTAGGAAGTGTAGTGAAGACAAAGACAGACAGGTGCAGACGAGGACTGTGACATTACCCCCCCCCCCCTCCCAGTAGGCGTGACCTCACGCTGTAGAACAGGGGTAGAAGGGTGGGCACCCTGAAGGCTGGCCAGGGCGTGGCCAAACAGGGACAGGAAGCCTCCAGGGTGGATCAGGAAGTGCAGGCGGCCAGGGCGGATCAGACGAACCCTCGGCGTCCAGGGCGGAGCAGGACGTGGGCGTGGCCAGTGCAGAGCAGATGAACCCTCAGGCAGCCAGCGCGGAGCAGGACATGGGCATGGCCAGGGTGGAGCAGACGAACCCTCGGGCGTCCAGGGTGGAGCAGGATGTGGGCGTGGCCAGGGAGGATCAGACGAACCCTTGGGTGTCCAGGACAGAGCAGGACGTGGGCATGGCCAGGGCGGATCAGACGAACCCTTGGGTGTCCAGGACGGAGCAGGACGTGGCGGAGCAGGCTGAGGGCGTGGCCAGGGCGGAGCAGGCTGAGGGCGTGACAGAGCAGGCTGAAGGCGTGGCCAGGGCGGAGCAGGAGGTGGCGGAGCAGGCTGAGGGCGTGGCCAGGATGGTGAAGACCCTTCAGACGGCCACGGCAGTGAAGACCCTTCAGGCGGCCACGGCGGTGAAGACCCTTCAGGCGGCCACGGCGGTGAAGACCCTTCAGGCAGCCACGGCGGTGAAGACCCTTCAGACAGCCACGGCGGTGAAGACCCTTCAGGCGGCCTTGCTGGGCCATAGGGCCACCCAAAAAAAAAATATTTGGGATAAATCCCTGGATTAGTGGCAGCCGGGTAACCAACAGTCTCTGGCGGGGCTGTCTCGGCGGGACGAGACTCTGGCGGGGCTGTCTCGGTGGGATTAGACTCTGGTGGGGCTGTCTCGGCGGGATGAGACTCTGGCTGGGTGGTCTCGGCGGGACGAGACTCTGGCTGGGCGGTCTCGGCGGGACGAGACTCTGGCTGGGCGGTCTCGGCGGGACGAGACTCTAGCTGGGCAGTCTCGGTGGGATGAGACTCTGGCGGGGCTGTCTCGGCGGGACGAGACTCTGGCTGGACGGTCTTGGGCTGGACGGGTGTTACCGTGAGGGATGAACCACAGACCCAAAGCGCCCTGTCCAGAAACTCAGAGAATGGCAGGTTTAGGTCCTCGAGCAGCAGTATCTGGGCTAACGGATCATCCAGACCACTCCAGAACCGCTGCTTAAGGAAATCTTCCTCACAGAAGATGTCTTGGTGAAGGTGGAGATAAACCTCAACGAATTCCTCCAGTGAGGCCCCATTCTGGTCAAAGAGAAACGAGTATATTGCGTCCTCCACCATTATCCTGTTTGGTCGGTCGTTCTGTTACGGCTGTGGTGTAGAGAGGTTGAGGCAAAAAGCTCCAATACAAAGATTTACTTAAAATCAAAACGGGTACAGGTAGGCAGAAGCTACACTCTCAAAACTCATTGTAACATTAACAACGACCGACAAGGACAGGCTGAACCGAATCAAACTAAATACAAGCATGAATCAAACATAACAAGGTGAAGACAGGTGAAACAGATGATGATAACGATGAACAGGTGGATGATTGAGGGAGTGAGTACAGGTGTGGAGACAAGAGGATCCTAGAAGTGTAGTGAAGACAAACACAGACAGGTGCAGACGAGGACTGTGACACTCCTGTCACAGGATTCTGTGTCCAGACCATCTGCCTTTTCTACTTTGGTTATCCAATAAAGCATATACGAGAACCTCATTCTCTGGGCTACTTGTTGTTGACAACCACAGTGGAATAACGCTAGACCATTCCATTCATGTTTTGCACCACACGGTTAGAGGTGGCTTCTTTAGAAGCTCCATTTGACTGCTTTGAATCCGTCCTTTCCTTTGACCTCTCTTTCTCTTTGGCTTGGTTCCAACTCTCCTTTCTCTCATCATCTCTGTGATCTTTCTTTCCATCATCCTTGTCCCGGTCTTCATGCAAACAGGTTGGGTGCTTGCTTTTACATGTGTCGCAGACTGTCCTGTCTTCAAGCATCCAGGTTAATGGAACGTTCCCGGAACATTCTCCTTACGTTATAAAAATGGAACCTACAAATAACCTACATGGAACGTTCCTATAATGTTCTTGTTTGGTTCCCCAAAAAATAACCTCATGGGACCGTTCGGGAACGTTCTGTGTTTGCTGGGTGTGCACATTGAGATGCCGAGCCTGTTTTCTGGTGACATCTCCCTCATGTGGTGGGTGAAGGGAATGACCAGGTGGCAGATATTACAACTATTATATATTCATAACCCAATGGTTCAGCTACTATGTTTTGGATGTCATATATTGTAATGTCTCTTTAAATTAGGCTAAATGGATCCTGAGATGTGAACCTGACAAGATTGATTATTAGAAGAACTTGGTCATCATATCCTGATGTAAAATCAACCAACATGGGTAATTATGACCAGGAAATTGTTTCTAAATAACATCAATATTTTACATACTAGCAAGCATATTTTAAGATTTGTAATGACATTTAGTGATACTGGTTCTTATTCCTTTTTTTATTTTTTTCAATAGAAAAAGAAAAGGCAAATCTACAATCACCGCTGCAATCAAAAACATGGAAAAAGACAACAGTGAAAACAGCACTGACATTAGCTGCAGTTGCTTCAGTAATGCATATGGCAGGAACAACAGCAATAGTAGATACAATAGCAGGAGCAGTTGCAGCAGCAATTGCAGGAGCGGCGGCAGGAGCAGGAGTAGGAGTTTTGCGATCCCAATGGGAAGCAAAAACAAGACCAGTAACAGCAATAGCAAGTGTAGTAGTAGAAGCAATAGCGGGTGCAGTAGCAGGAGGCCTAGCAGGAACGGCAGCTTCAATAGTGGGATCATTAGCAGGAGCACAATCACAAACCGGATCAGCAGTAGCTGGAGTAATTGCTGGAGCCACTACAGTAGTAGTAGCAAGAACACAATTACACTGGGCAACAAATAGCATGCAGTGGGCAATAGATCAACTATTATGGCTACGGAAATTTATAAAAGGGGCAAAAAAAAAAATACTCATAGCAGCAGTAATTGTAGCAGCAGTATTAGCAGGAATAGCAGCAGCAGCAGGAGCAGCAGCAGGGGCAGTAGTAGCAGGAATAGTAGGAATAGCAGCAGCAGCAGCAGGAATAGCTTCAGTAGCAGGAGCAACAGTTGGAGGAATAATAGGAACAGTGGGAGCAACAGTAGCAGGAATAGCAGCAGGAGGAAGATTACTCAGCGGATTTCTAGGATTATTTGGATGGTTATTTGGTGGAGGTGGAGGAGGTGGCGGAGGAGGAGGTGAAGGAGGAGAAGGAGGAGCAAGATCACAACAGGGAAAACAGACACAAGCAGCAGTGTTGGTAAGAGGGTATATTTTTTTTATTATGAATTGATTATGATATTTAATTAATCTTTAAAATGATTTCTTACAAAAATAAATACTATCTTAATACTTGATTGTTTTAGACATTTCAACTAGAAAATATGATCACACACTCCTAATTAAGATGATTTACCCCCCCCCCCCCCCCCCTCCCCTCAATGCCAATGATGATATCTAGAAGTGATTGTGATTTCTCACAATCACACACAAACAAAAAGTCCCTGCAAAAATTTAAAATACATGATTTTGGTGTATTTTAGTTTTATCCCAATATGATTATTTAAAATATGTATTGCACAGATGTGTGTGTTGGACAGATGTGTAACATTAATAAAAATGCAACATCTATTGAACAGAAAGATTGGGAGTGTGAAACAGAAAAACATGTATTTTAAACACCATAGGCTTGTGCGCACCCAATGAGCAATGGCTTTAAAGGGATAGTTCAGCCAAAAATGAAAATTAGCCCATGATTTACGCACCCTCAAGCCATCCTAGTTGTAAATTACATTCTTCTCTCAGAGAAATACAATCGGAGTTTTATATATATATATATATATATATATATATATATATATAAATGTCCTGGCTCTTTCAGGCTTTAAGTCAAGTCAAGTCACATTTATTTATATAGCGCTTTTCACAATACAGATTGTATCAAAGCAGCTTCACAGTGATAACATGTAAGTAGCACAACACAGATCACTAACATTGCTAAACACTAAATAACCCCAACTGAGCAAGCTCAAAGCAAGCCAAAAGCAAGGCGACAGTGGCAAGGAACCAAACTCCATCAGATTGGATGGAGAAAAAACCTTGGGAGAACCCAGGCTTTATTATGGCAGTAAATGGCCGTTTCTGTTTTGAAGTCCATAAAAGTGCATCTGTCCATCATAAAAGTGCTCCACACAGCTATAGGGCGTTAATAGTTAATAAATGCTTTCTGAAGAGAAGCCATCAGTTTTTGTAAGAAAAATACCCATATTTTTAAACATATAACTTTATAATCCAAAATAACTAGCTTTCGCCAGACGACAGTACGGTTACTACGCAAGTAGTCTTGCGCCACAAGAGTAACCCGTGACGTGTATGACGTAGGATGTAGGAGTATCGTAAGCTTAGATGCCTCTTTGTAATTATATTATCAATTAGGGCTGTGGAACAAACTGAAGCCCCGCTTCTATTATAGGCTATAGAAATCCTCCGACATTCCTCTTTAAAATTTCTAATTCACGACCAGTCTTTTGTTTTGCTCTTTCCTCTGAGCTTCTGCAATCCTCATTACGTTATGCGTGGGGTCAATGGTTAGTCTTCAACCATAAAACTGAGGCAGTGTTGAGCACTTTTATGATGACTAGATGCAATTTTATGGACTTCAAAACAGAAGCGGCCATTCATTGCCATTTTAAAGCTTGGAAGAGCCAGTAAGTTTTTTAATATAACTACAACTGTAATCGTCTGAAAGAAGAGTGTTATATGTTCATATGATGACTTCAGAGTGAGTAAATCACGGTCTAAATTTCATTTTCTTTGACCAAACCCTTCAACAAGTGCTAAACTGTTTGCATGGGACTTTGTTATACATCGGAAGCAATTCTATTTGATATCACCACTAAATGGAAAATTTGGACTCTGACTTTATATGCCATTCAGACAGGCTCTTCATGTGTAGTAGGCTTTTGGTGTACTGGAAGCAACATTTCGAGACAGTGAAGCTGCGCATCCATTGTTTTAAATGTATTTTTTTGACCCTACAAAAGAGATACAATCCTTTATTACACTTTACCTCACAAAGTGTTTTTTGTCAAATTATTTACCTGTTTTTTTCCTTCAGTAACAGCCTCTGCATCAAGTGGCAGATTTAAAAAACAATCTGTGCTGAAATGTGCTGCTCAAAATGTTCCGATTAGACTGCAATGATCAGTGATCTTGTTCAATATAATTTTGAGCTGCTTGTTTCTAATGTCGTTAACTCACAACCATCCTCTATGAATCTCTACAGACAGATATATCTCCACAGATAAATGGATCTCCCCAGATGGAAAACTGTTCACAGACAGTTAGATTTCCCCAGGAAGTTGAAGGTAAAAGCTAAATTTAGTTCATTCATACTTTGTACAATATTTGGTCTTTATATTTCATATTTACCTTTTTATAGCAATAATGTATATGCCGTATTTGTGAAAAAAAACCTCCGCCAAACACTATGCAGCAATCATCAGGGTCCAGGCCTTGAGCCCTGCCACAACATGGTCAAAATGAAAAAATGAGTGAATCTTCCTCAGTTGCCAAGTAGTCAGATCCTCCTCTGCAGAGGATTGTTTACTGTTCCATTTTATCAAACCATACAGAATTGAAGATTAAAGCAGTATCATTGCTTTATTTATCACATGTGCATAACAGCATTACAAGTGCCATAGCCTAGGTCTCTGTCTGTGCGTCACTCAAATCTGTCCCCTTGGGAACATGACAGGAAAACTAACAATCCACTTGTTAGAAGGATTACAGACAACTCCCGGCCCAGAGTGCCCACATGAGGGTGGTCAGGGAACGCAATGCTTCTGCCAGAGTTGCACACTCATGTAACCTGTGTGAGCACAGTCAGGTGCAGTTAAAGAATGCAGTTTGTGAGATGTTTGCCTGTATTTCAAGGCAGTCAAGGAGTGTTAGGGGACTCAGCCCAGATTTTCAGAGTTGTTCATCTGGTGTAGTATCCTAGAAAAATGTTGATCTTGGTGATCTGGACAGTTATGTGAGGAAATATACCTTAAAGATGTTGACACATCAAAAGTTGCTACTTTTGCATTTTGACTTGGATGACAACGATAGACATGAAAGATGTGTATTTGCCTCTGTCAATTCATGAGACAAATTCCTTCCATTTCAAGGTTGTTGTTGTTTTCATTAATGGTACTTTTGTTCGGACTAGGTAAAGCTCCAATAGTACTCACAAAAGTAGTTGAGGCAGCAATAGCTCTGCTGAGGGAAAAGGGGAATTATGGCAAATAAAGATGATTTTCTTATCTGTACAAAGATGCTGCCTGCAACAAGCAAGCCATGTTCATTTCTCATATGCAGACAATAGATTATATGGGGCTCACACTGAACTCAGTTACTTTCAAGGCCATTGTTTTCGGAGGGCAGGGCATTTCAAGAATGTCTCTCGCATTTTTGTGTCAGTGCGGGTGCACTTTCACCTATGCCTATGGCTCAATCCCAATTCACCCCTTGGCCCTGCCCCTTGTTTTCGAGTATATCCCTTGGCCCTTAAAACAGAGCTACAAGGGCCAAGAGGTTGAAATATTCCCCTATGAAATGGAACAACCCTTCATGAACCCAATACGTTATCAGTCGTTGGCAATGGCTCTGCTGTTAAGGAGTTTTTACAGGATTTCTCCATGACAGCAACTGACAATCAGCGCAGCTGCTCTTACATTTGAGGAAACATGATGATTATAACATTCCTTCCTCGAAATGTGTCTTTCCTGATTCAGAAAGGTAATTTATTATACAATTTCTCAATTTAAATGACTATAGTATTATTATAAGAGTAAATAAAGTGCATGGTGGTGTCATCTGGCTTCTAAATTTAAATGTTTAAACGTTTGCGAAGCCATCTCGCTGGTGATTTGCGATGCATTCTGTGAACTTTCTCGTAGCCCTCCGTTTGGAGTGTGCCTCTGAAAAACGTCCCGGTTACATATGGTAACCCTCGTTCTCTGAGGGAGGGAACGGAGACGTAGGTAATGACTGACCAATAGGAATCTCGCTAGAGAGCCAATTTACGAGTGAAACTAAAACAAGCCAATGCACATTGGCGTGCAATCATTTGCATGGTGCACTCATTTGCTCGTCAGCGCAGCATTAAACGAGCAGCGGGACCTACGTCTCCGTTCCCTCCCTCAGGGAACGAGGGCTACCATATGTAACCGAGACGTTCCATATCGGTCAGTCACTACAATGTAGGTCATGACTGACCAATAGGAATCCCTACCAAAGCGCCACAGCTGCTGCACCCCATCCAGCGCCCCGTGCAAGCCTCTATACCTTCTTGCCTGGAAGGACAACAAGAGGAGGCTTACACAGAGTGTATCTGTCACTGTTGTTCCGTAATAACCCATACAGTGAGGTTATTGGATAACACTGGGAAAGTGTGCCCTTTTCTGTGGGAGGTGAACGCTGCGGAACCACTTAACAAAGAGTTAAGTGGAATCACATATGGACTAACCCAAAGGTTGTACTGCATGTGAATAATGGATGACTTAACCCAAGGGAAAGACACGGGCTTCCATCTTAGGAGCAGCCGTGGAATATATACACATAGGATCCCCGTAGGGTCACACATATGGAACCAAGCCCAGA